TTCCCACCCCTAGCATGAACACTTAATTTAGACATACATTGTGAAATGTAGCAAATATAAAACAGCCATGATGAATCGCCCTTACCAGCAGGACAGAATTGAGAACATCATTGTTGAGCGGTGACTCGGCAACACGGCGGTGGCGTCTGATGTGTTTTCGTGCGCTGTGCACCATGTTAGAGACGGACAGTTTTGAGATGGGTACTGTTGCAGTAGGCTCTGTGAGTCTTGATAATGCTGAGCTGATGTCAGTGTTTTCTGCAGGGGAAAATAAAAACACAAAGAGTTATTTAGATTTCAGTCATTTGAATGTAGCTTCATCTGCTTACTGAAAGTGTAATAATTATGTTTGTATGTTGCTTTCGGAGGTCATGTTTAGAGTTGAGAAAATCTATTCAAACACTTCCCAAACACCAGGGATAGTAGTAGTAAATTAGTTTTAGTGACATTAGCAAGAATAAAAGTGTTAAACTATACACAGGCAGTGAGCTCACCTTGGCCCTCCTCTTCAACCAATCCTCTCCCCAGAAACTCCTCTGTAGACTCCTTCTTACAGCAGAGCTTAAAGAACTCCGACAGGAAGTCACCTGTCAAATCATTATAAAAATACTCAATGTTTTTAAATACATGATATAATAAAGGCTCTCTTCACATTTGATGCTTCTAATAAATAAAAAAAAACGGAATGAATTCATTAAAAAAAGCTTTAAAGGCTCTGCTGTCTGAAGCAGTGAGATTCAGAATGGTTAATGTTGTAAAAAAGGCCTTGCTTGTATAGAAGAGTATAAACACCAATTGAAGCAGGATAAGTTGTATAATAAACAGGCGTAAAATGCTAATATACTATTTTCAGCCTTCCAAGATGCAGAAATTGGCTTTAAAAGTGGCTCCTGAAAGTTGATCTTACCCAATAAACACTGAGGGTTTTCAGCTGTTCGCACTCTGACAGACCAGTGAGGAGCCTGAAGTGGGTCCAGGTCACTGCCGGGTCAAAAAAACAGAATATAGATGTTTAAATCAGATCAGAAAAAGATCTACAGTTGGTCTGTTTATTTACGACCTTTATACCTGAAACAGTTTGTCACAAATATGGATGTGGGAAGAGTCTTCCTTCATATTTGATATTCAAAAATGCCCCTGCTACTGTATATTGCTCTGATGTATAAAGGTCACAGAGTTGGTGGAAAAACAGAGAGTGTCCTTGAAAGCTCCTGGGAGGAACATTCAGGTTGTGTCGACAAAGAGGTGCCTCTTGTTTCTTTGATGATTTGATCCTGTACATGTGAAGATGGTGTTTCTTTAACACAATAATCATCCTGCTCTCTCCTTGCAGTCAAATATACCAATCATTATTAAGAATGTATGTAAGTCATGAAGAGAATTCAGTATAAGGTCAAGTCTGTTTTATATCAAGATAAAAAAAAGACTCCTCATAGTAGCTTTAAATCAATGATGCTGTGACACAAATTCATCAGTGATGTTAGAATCGCCCACCTAATTTACATAAATACTTTTCCTCATACAACATGGACACAGGAATACAGAAATAAATAGATGTTGAAATGTAAAAATGTATGAATATATAATTGTAGAAAAAAAAATGTATCCCTGGTAATGTATTGATGCGCTAATTCCAGCATTTATTTATTATTTTTCTTGCAATTATGTATTGATATTTGTATTTATTTATTTCTACTTAAGTTACTGTTTGTCCCTCATAGCAGCTGTCTGTTGTTTGATTTCTGATAAGCCTTGAATTGATAAAATGGATTTAATCCATGGTTCAGCACTTATGAAATGTCCTGTACCACACAGACGCACGCAAGCTATGGCGCGCGGAATGGTTCATCACACAAGATCAAGATAAGATAAGATATACTTATACCAGCAGGGAAATGTAGGTTTTCCAGCAGCCAGCATACATACACACAACACAACACATATATACATACATATACCACAATACATAGAGCCCACAATACATAGCCAGGATAAAAAAAAGTGGTATGGATGGAAGTAGCTGTTACTCATAGATAACAGTACAAAATACTAGCTCTGCCAGTGCATAGTATGATAAATAAATAAAGAATTATGATAAAAAAGCAGTAAAGTGTGCAAATATACAGGTGCAAAATACAGTTTGATATATATATGCAGCTCAGGCTAAAGTTTAAAAGTTTAAATGTCTTCTGTCCTTACTTAAAGGGGAGTCGTTATAAAGTGCAATTGCAGTAGGTAAAACAGTATTTTTAAATCTGTACTTTTTGCATCTTAGCTGCCGTAGCGTCCCAATAAAAACTCTTTTGTTGAAACACGAGATCGTGTAAGGGATGCATGTTATTGTCCATAATGTTCAACAGTTTCTGTATCACGTGTATTTAACGTGTTTCATGCACGCCGGACGTACGCACTTACGTGTGATTATTTCATAAAAGTCCCACGGCTTCAAATGCGTGAGACTTTTATGAAATAATCACACGTACGTGCGTATGATGAACCATTCCGCATGCACGCACTCTTTGTTACTACCTGCGATAGTGGATCATTGGTGGAACGACTTTGCCCCACCATTATGCCTAAACTCCCAATTAAAGAGTACTAAATTGCGTGTTCACTCCAAAAGTTTGCACGTTTGGTTGGTGGGCGTTTTGCGGCTGATCTACTAAGAAAATTTGCGTGAATGACAACAGGTGCAAACCTTGTGGAGGCAGTACTATTTAAGTTAGGCTTTTGCGTGTTCTACTGGTTTACATCACGGAGAGTTTGGACAGAAAGCAGGATGACTGCAAGCGCAAAATAGGTGTTAGTGGGAGAGGCAAATAAACGCACAATACTTTTGAGTTATAGGAGATAAATCTGAATATTACAAAGAAAATTATGTTAGGGTCGAAAATTAATAATGTTGGCGAAAAGAGGGAAATAAGAAGACATAAATGTCAATGTTGAAATTCTATAGAATTCAGAGGCTGTGAATGTTCAGTTTTCTTTGGCTGTAGGCTATGGCAACAATAGCCTGTAGTTTAATCAAGGTGTTTCTCTTCCTTAAAGATCAGAATATTGTATCAAATCATTTGAAACACGTGGGGAAAAACGTGATCTTTATGCCTTCTTTTGTTGTGCCTATGTCTCCTCCTAACTTCAATAACAGCAGCCTGTTGTGTGTAACGCTGGTCTCCTGGATTAGCACCTTCCTTTCAAAGGTGTTAAATACAGACACCGTCATAATCACCGCAATTTTTGCCAGGTTTGGTAAATCTCAACGCGTGTACTAACTTAACTTGTTTGCATTTTCTCCTCCCAGTGTTTTGCACATTAGGGCAGAATCGCCCCATATTGCATATTCATTAAGGCAAACGTACTAAATGGTCAATGCGTGTTGTTTTGCTCATTTGAAAGACGCAATCCTCACTGCGCGCCGTTAGTAGATCAGATAGCACTTTTTTTTTGCTGGTGGTATCAAGTTTGCGCACGTTTTAAGAGACGCAAACCTTTAGTAGATCTGGCCCTGTATTACACAATGCAGATGAAGCATAACAGGGGGGGGGAAATATCACACCATGAACCAGCAAGCACCAAGATACCATCGAGAAAGATTCTTACCTGTAGACGTCATTATCCACAACAATGCCTTCTGTCAGGTGAGGCCAGGTGGTTGCAAGATGAAGCTCACTACAAAAAGTAAAACAGACACACAGAGAATATTTACATAATTTTCTTATTGTCATAAAGTTTAACATTTACCAAAGATACTGTTAAGAAATGAATAATAATATCAGTTTTCTTTTGAAAGTAGAGCAGAATTTCAGAGCCTACATCTGAGAAATCTGTAAGTCTTTACCTGATTGGCTCCTCGCAGGCTCCAAAAGGAAGTTTGCCAAACTCAACTCCTCCCACCTCACCTCCAAGTAGTGTGTCAAAGTCTGCGCCACAGGCAATCAAAACACACAATAGAAAAAAAAAAAAGTACTACTATTATTATTATTATTATTATTATTATTAGGGAGAAGAACATATAAAGCTCTTCAGTAACTGTGCACAATGTGGTGGAAGTCTAAGCACAAACAAACAAAGAGTCCTAAGTCACTGAACAGGCCAACATACCGTATTGTTTTACCGCTGAGGTTGTCAAAATATTTGATACTTCAATACTTTTTGATACCATGTCTTTTAAAACAATACTCAAATAATTTGACTGCATTTTTAGGTGATGTAAAACATCCAACAGGGCTCCAACCAAAAGTGTTCAACTATCCTCTGTAGCTCAACCTGCATTTGCAGATAACTGTGAGAATATAGGAGGTACTGTACGTCTCCCGTGATGACAGAGCTATTTAAGCAACATCATGCGTGCATCATTTTGCTAGAATTGGATCTAACTTTTAAAAAGTCAGGCATTGTGACAACCCTGGTAACTACTTTGCTTTTATTTGGTAATGTGCTATCACTTTCTTCTGTTCTTTATATGCCGACCTGGAGGCTGCTGTGGCCACGAGTGCTGTTGCCAGTCCTGGAGGATGTAGGTGAAGCGGATGGCAATGTTTATTGGAGGTGGAGGCGACAGATTACAACCCTAAGGAGGAGGAGGAGGAGGAGGAGGAATATGTAATCCAGGTTCAAGTGAGGAAACAAAATCATATTCATTCCATTATTATTAGCCCTCACTATCTTTGACTTGAAGATGTCCAGGAGCCCAGACAGGTGTTGTACTGACTTGCACCTTGCGGAGGTGCACCATCTCAAAATCTGTGCGCACACCTAGACCTTGACACTCTCCAGCATACATCCGCCTCCACTTCTGCTGGATCTGCACAAACATGGGCACTTGGCTGGGGAGCACAAGAGGAAGAGAAGATTGATGATGATGATGTTTCAATAAGTTGACTCTTTCACTCAAATCCAGAGGCTTGTTCAATAACTGAAGTCTAGCTCTTCTTATGAGTATGACTGTGCTTAGTGATAAAGGTGACTCACCAGCCACTGTTAGCAAGAGCGATGGAGATGGAGCTGAGCAGCAGATTGCATTTGGACTCACTGATGATCGCCTCGCAATTGGTTCCAGGAGCGATGACCACAAACTCTTGTATACCGTACCTGTCAGCAAGAACACAGTCACAGCAGAACACCAATCAGCATCATATTTTACTCCACTGTGCTTTCTTTCTGATCCAGATTCATTTGGTGCTTTTTTCTGTAGAGCCAGACATAAACTGTACAGTGTTCGGGCTGATTTAGACCTGATTCTTCAATACAACTGATTTTGAAGTTGGGCCGAGTAGAAAATCCTTTTCTATTTATTCATAACTGATTTCAGTTCTTTTGTGACCCAGGGTTTATTGATGTGATGCGGATCATGTGTGTGAGGCAGAGTGAGAGAATTTTTGCTGATGTGTGTATTTGAGCTGTGCATATGAAACATATATCTGACTTAAACCTCCGTCTGTGGGAGTTTCTATTGACAACTGCAAATGCTCCTTCTTGATTGAACTCGTACAGTGTGAGCTCTCAGGTCATTCACTGTTAGGGCATATTGCTTTGGTTGTGAGTCATTAATGATTCAATCACACAGTGTGAGCTGACATTCCACCACAACGTTATAGTTACTTTTCTTGACATAAGCTTTAATAATAATAATACATCACAGTGAATGTTTAAATGCACATTCAGGGAAGTTGATAAAGCTCACCATCTAACCAGGCAGTGAGCCCGAGGAGGGAAGTCGTTGTTCATACACAGAAGGTCCTGCATTGCTGAGGGGAAAGCATCTGAACACAAAAACAAGAGTCAGGCACTGATTGTTGGAGAGAAAAAATCAGCTCCCCAACTGATGGGTGTTTTTTTACAATAGGTGGAACACACAAGAAATCACATAAATCTATCAACTCCAGTGACCTACAAATTCAGGCGTGACTGTACCTTCCTCGAGCGTATTCTTCTCGTTGTCATTCTCACTTTCTTGTTTTAGGGTGAAGTGACTTATGTAGAATTTAAAGTCTGCAAAGTTTATATCCTGAGACTTCTCCAACCAGGTGCCAGTTGTGTATCCACCCTGTGTTCAAACAGAAGAACATCGGAACAGAATTAAAGTGAAGAACATAGTAGCAGCTCATCTGTCTGATATAGAAGATTATTGAAGCCTTAATGAGAGCAGGAATACCTTATCTGGGGGCGACCTTCCTGCAGAGTTCCCAATCAGCTTCCAATCATTTAACACCTCCTCCACTCTGGAAACAAACCTGAAAGTAGTAGTATAAATTTTAGATTTCTTTTTTTTTTTTTTTTTGAGTGTCATGCAGTCACCTCATCATCGTCTTTTGCCCCTGCTGACAATTCCCTATATTTTTCTCAACTGAATTTCCTTGACGTTGCATTTCCTTATTCTTCTTCTTTCTGAATGCATGTTATATGTTGCAATAAACACCATGTAAGGTCAAGTGAACCAGCATATTTACAAGAAAGAATTTTAAAAAAGGCCAACTAGACCTTGTATATTTAAGTAATATAAAATGTAATAGTTGTCACAAGTAAAAAAAATAAGACTATTAAGACCTTGTATTTTAAAAATGTCATTAAGGAGTTCTTTAGGACCCGTGGGAACTCTGTGTTGTACATAGCTTTCTCTGTTGCTTAAGGCATCATACTTCTAGTTCTCCCTTACTACGGTAGGTATCTTTAAATTTAACCCTCAACCATGTAATATTCTATAATAAATTTTTTGCCTTCGTATTTCATTGATATGAAATTTTGGAGCAATCTGGAACCATATTTCCTTTGAGAAGCGTAAAACTCTAACTCATCTTAACATGTGACTGTTGCTTGTACTTTTAGGAGATCCATCCAAACATTCGTATTATGACAAAGGTCCCCAATTGCGATCCGGACCCAGATGCCGTCCTGATGATATTTTGACTGGCGCACAATTAGTTATTAACAGTTATCTATTTTACTTATCGTCTAAGAAAGTCACAGACCAATTGATTTGTTGTAAATCGGCACATGTTAACGCTTATCAGCCAATCAAATCCTGCGGACTCATAACATTTCCTACAACTTCCAAATAAAAGCATCTCACAGCCAGGCTACTTAGGGTAAACTTGTAATGCGATGTAGGCGTAGGCGGGTTTCAAATAAAGCTTTACACTCAGGTTACAGCTCTGACACTGTGGCACAGACGGTAAAATCTGAAAATATCATTTATGTATACGAAGATAAAGTTAGCTAGACTGAAAGCATGTAATAAATCATGGTGTTTCAGTTTAAAGAGTGACCATTTCAACTAGCAACTTTCAGTTTTAGTTGTCATCACTACAACAGATGTTGAAAACGTAGTGTCCGAACCAATGAGTCCAGAAGTGGTGTTGAAATGAATCATTTCTACGATGCAGTGCGATGCAGACGTTGGCGATTCTGCATCAATGCAGTGACAGGACTGAATCGATTACAGCGTACTGACGTCACTTGTAGATTTTCCAGACACATTGGGTTCCTATATCATTTATACATATAAAGACACTTACCAATCGGTCTTTATTTGTATAGTGCCAACTTATAACACGTGTTATCTCAAGACCCTAAACAACAGTTACAAAAGAGCAGAGAACACATCTCACACTTTTCAAGAAGATCCCTGTTAGTACGTATTTTCATGGATTCATTCATCTTGATAATTTTGTGGACATATCTTTAAATTGTTTTTTAAACCATCTCACAGTAATTCTTCTTTTGGGTCTGTGAAGCGTTAACCTTCTGTGGGTGAAGCACCTAAGTAGTAGCAGATCTATAAATGGATAGGAGCCAACTATATGTTGTCAGCAACTGTTTGCGGGACAGAGAGTCTACATCTGATACGTATACAAATCAGTGTCATGTCATCTTTATTGTTTTATAGTGATGTACCCAAATGGAAAGGAATTTGTGGGCTGTACCTTCTAGCAGAATATAAGCAACACTGTGTGATGAAGACTTTGCCATTTTGCCCATGATTGTGAGATCTTGGTCAGCATGGGTCAGCGATGGTCTGCACTTTGTCAGCCATGTGTGTTGTGTTTCTGTGTTGTCTGACCATGGCTGAATAAATCGAAGATGATCCACAGTCTGTTTCACGATTTTATAATTGTCCATCTCATACAGAAATAACCCCCACCTCACAATTCCCTTTCCTTTATTAATTTCCCTGGATGGAAAACACTTTTGCACTTTTACACACGCAGGCTAAAATACACACACATGCACAAACATGTTCCTATGGACATGCACTAATGGAGAGATGTCTGATCAGATGAGGGTTTTTTTTTCTTCTTCTAATGAAACACCGATCTAAGAGGCATCTCGGCCTGTAACAACACTTACAGTCTTCAACATCTGTTGTAACTAAGACAACAACAGAGTTAACACTGACACTCTTCACACCGACTTTGTTAAACTGCCCTGTAGTATCCTGACTATAACATGTGTATGTGAGACGTCTGTGTGCATGCTAACTGTAATTGTGCCTCCTTTTGATATTCATTTGAGTGTTTTTACAAGTAGTTCGCTTAAAGCAGGCCTTTAACTTCAGGTGGACGATTGCTTACCGCTCCCACTCTGACGCGGTGGTGAAATCTGTGATCTCGAACACTTCCGTCTCGGGCTACAAAAGAAACACACACATTCATATATGCGTATTTTTTTTTTCTTTTAAGTCTGCAAATCTACTCTGTACGTGCTGATTTACATGTATAAATAAACTTACATCATTGTCGGCCGCCATGTTGATGTCCTGTTGTTGTTATTCTTCTTCGTTAGGTTTATATGGCAGTGAGCAGACCAACTCGTCGGAGCATTACTGCCCCCTACCTGGCAGAGGCGTATTTCATCATCGTCATCATCTTTATTGAAAGACTGAGTAGTACATAACATGAGATGTTTTAGTTTACGTACAGTGCTTCAAAGAATTAGTTGGAATTTTTTTTTTTTTTGCATTTCACTACATGCAAAAGTGTTTCATGAAACACAAAAACATTTAAAAAAAACCACAAAACTTTTTCAGAGAATGCAAATTATATTTTACTCGCTGCATATCTTTTAATACCATCTTCAAACTATATTTAACTTGCTGCAAATGTTGTTATACCGGCTGCAAAATATATTTAATAAGCGTCACATTTCTTTTAGACCTGCTGCGAAATATATTTGATTTGCTGAATCGGCGTTCATCCGATCATTTCAAGTTTGGTGTCAAATGAATGAAGACGAGTTCAAGATTCAAAGTTGTGTGAACCACAAAGTTTTACCACAGGGCGTGGCTGTGGTGGGCTCTCAAAATTTGATGTTTTTTGATGTTGTTATTAATAAAATAAGTGGTAACAACTCTGATATGCAGTGTTCTATCATTACCAAATTTCTCCTGCAAGATATGGGGCCCGGCATGAACACATTCAATCAATCAATCAATCAATCAATCAATCAATCAATCAATCAATCAATCAATTAATCAATCAATCAATTTTTATTTGTATAGTTACAACTCATAACAAGTGTTATCTTGGGACAATTTACAAAATGCAGGTAAAAGACCTTACTCTTTGTTTTTTAATATTACAAAAGAGCAGGTAAAAAGACCTTACTCAATGCTATATTACAAAGACCCAAAGGGGGGTGTTGTGTAGGCCATCCACCAACCGTCCACCAACCGTCCACCAACAATCGTGAGGAGCCTAAGAGAGCTTAGGAGCTTTACAGATAGATACATGCAGTAATATGATGTACTGTATATGCACAAAGAGCAAAAGAGAGAGAGAGAGAGAGAGAGACAGAGAGAGAGAGAGAGAGAGAGAAAGGTGCCAGTTCCCCCGGTATTCTAAGCCTATAGCAGCATAACTAGGAGCCGGTCTACACCAGCGCCAGCCCTAACTATAAGATTTATCAAAAGGGAAAGGTTTAAGTCTATTCTTAAAAATACAGAGTGTGTCTGCCTCTTGGACCCCGGCTGGAAGACGATTCCAGAGGAGAGGATCCTGATAACTGAAGGCTTTACCTCCCATAGTACATTTAGAGACCGTAGGTACCACAAGGAGGCCTGATAACTGAAGGCTCTACGGTAGAGCCTAGATACTGGCGGTAGATACTGCCAGTATATTTTATGAACAAAACCTTGTTTGCTGTGCCGTTAGCTAACGTTGTCTAAGTACCGTACTTTCACAGTCTGCACACTAACCGCTGTCAATATAAAAAAGTTGAGTCCGTGCTCAACAAAACCAGCTACTATTTGGAATAGATTTAAACACTTAAGATTTAATAAAATTCTCTTTATTTCATGGATCATAATTTCAAGTGGAGTAAGGTGTTATCGTAACCTCTACACAGAAGTAAATTCGGGATACCAGAATTACATCATTCTTTAGTTCATGAGTATTACAGTCATTATTACGCATCAAAAAATGTTTCTTGTAGAAACCAACCGTCCACAAGGTGTCCATGCAAGGGCAGTGAATTTGCCGCGTTTACGGCCGCTGGAGCTACAAACAAAAAAAAACCCAAAAACATGTAGTGAATGCCACATAGTTGACTAATTCTGTTAAACTAAATATAAAATTCCTTAACATTTAGTTATTAGACGACTTATGTAAGATGTAACTTACTGTTATCAAGCTGGTTAGCTAGCTCCCAGAGAACTTCAGAAAGCAGGCGCCATCTCGAAGCCATTGTTACAATGACACATACTGTACACATACTGTACACATACTGTACACATACTTGAAGAATCGATTGCTTCTGTCTGTTTTTCAAAATTGACGAAACCTACTTCAGTAATGTTAGGACGGCCCACTTAATTTACATATTTACATTTACTTGTACAACATGGACACAGAAATACATAAATAAATATTTGAATATATTTATTTATATATTTATTGATGCATTTATTTAATTATTTATTTATTTATACATTATTGTATGCATTTCTCCCAACATTTATTTATTTATTAATTTATTTATTTATACTTAAGTCTTTTTTTGTCCCTCATAAATTTGCAATGATAGGAACCATATAATTAAATAGCTCAAGTAAGCGGCAATCTCCGGTGTTGAAAATGCAGAGGTGTAAAACCCTGCAGTTCGTTGAGTGTCCGCTTGAGGCTGGCTGCAAAAAGCACCGGAAGTCCCATAAACACCTCATTCAAAAAAAGCCTATTATTTTACAGCCTAAATCAACATGTTTACAGCATTGCTCAAATAACTAAATAGGTCTAATTGGCTCATGTCTCAATCTGCACACACTGTACAGGGGGTAATTTTGTTGATAGGTCTTCCATTTTGATTTGATGAAGGAGCCTCATTCACAATAAGGCAGGTATAGCTGACCTGATTGACGGGTGGGTGCAATGGAATGGTTTTCAAGAGGCTTAAAACCTGCTGAGTTCCAGCTCTCAGCCTGTTGTTAGGTTGACTGGTTGGGTGAGACAGCATTTCCAGCATTAGGGACTGCCATCTATGAGATGGATGACGTCACTCAGGCTTTTTCCATTAATATTTACAGACCAAAATATGTCAACAGCCGAGCTACTCACTTTTACTGAAACGTAATTACTCAAATCATTATTTTTAAATAAAAATACATTTTATATAAATATATTAAAATGTCTCTTTATGTTAATAAATATATATATTTTTTAAAAATCCATGAATATTTTTCATCTCAAAATGACCAGGTGATGGGAGGGCTAAAGAGCCTTTTGGCCCCGCCCCTCCCTTTCTACTGAATCTGATTATGGGTTATGTAGGCTACATAGCCAACCAAAGTTAGCTAACTATAGAGCTAGCAGCACAGTTTAGCTGGCTGTTTGGAGTTAGGAGCAAGCATAAGTTAGGTTATGTGACAGGCTGAATCTTGAGGGGAATTTGAAGATTTTATGTAGTATCTGAAGTTAAGAGAATTATTATACATTTCATCAAATCAGATGAGTTTAAATAATTTATTGAATTATTTCACATACTTTTAAAAATAGTTTAACTTTTAACACTTTGGGACTCTTTTGCGGCTGACTGTCTTTTGTTGAAAACCACATTTCCCATGAGCCTTGAAAACCACTGTTCCTGCTTCCTGGGTGGCAGTAGGCTACCCCAGATGATTTTTATTGTGTAACAGAAGCTGATAAGTATCCATGCAGCTGTCAGTTATCTGGGCTCATTGTGTCTTATGCTAAAAGGGAGGGGTCGTAAATATCTGCAGGCAGACTGATTCATCCCCTGTGAGAACTGGACATTCTGGGTATCTGAGGTCAAGACCCCTCTGGTTACAACCAAATGCTGTGGACATGTGAGTACTAATTATAAGATGATGGTATGATTACTATGTGAGTGATGAGAAATGGTGTGAGTGTTTTGTAATACAGTCTGTATCAAGGCTGCAGGACTTTAAACAAGAGCATTTTTAGACAGAGTTTTGGGTATTTATCTCTGCTTTATTCATGAGTGTAAAAATGGTTCCACCAACCAACCAGGCCTTAAGGCTGCTTTCCTCTGAGAGTAATTTTAGACTTGACTTTTCCCCTATCCTCTTGTTCTTATCATAGCCCTTAAAATGCCTTTGATATCTTCCTCTTGCACAGCAATAATGCCAACTCTCCCGAGGCATCCGTGGTGCCCGCTGCAGACTATCAGCCTGAACTCTTCCTTTGAATACTTTTCCTTTGCTCTACCTTTCTCTTAATGTTATTCATGACAGACATGACTCTTCTCACTTTAAAGTGCTGCACACCTGTTTTCTCACAGCTGGAATAGTAAAGAGCCATTGTTTCATGTACAAATCAAGTTGAGTTTTAGAAGTTCTTCAGTTGGAGTATTTGCAGAAGAGCTCTGAAAGACGCTGACTCAGTGCTTAAGAAAAACAGAACAAGGGCCCACCATGAAAGTCTAGACTGGCTAAAACTTTGGGATTGTTATTACTGATATTTCAAAGCTATAGATGTACATCTTATAAATAGATTTCATACATAATCTCAGATGTTAACTGTGTGTTTTTTCAGGGGTCTTCTGGTTCGGTGGATAACTTTAAAATGAAATGAAATGTATCTAAATCTTTACACGATGTCGGCACCTGGCTAGGTTGACATGTGCAAAATCTATGCAAGTGAAATAGACCTTTCAGCTTTTGCAATCAGGTGTCCAAGCAAATCCTTAATACAAAAGGGTAATAATTCAGATCTGGCACCCAAATCTGTAATAGTTCGAAAGCTTGGAAATGATATTTAAATACTGTGAAGGACAGAGAAGACAAAAGAAAGACCAGCTGTTTTTTTTCTGTAAATTCCTAAGTCACTAACCCACACTCAGAAAAAGACAGAGAGGCTGTCACAGGCCGGGTGAGAGGGAGGGACACTAAAGAAGGAGAAGAAGTAGAAGACGGAGAAGGGGGGGGGGAGGAAGAAAGAAGGGGCTGACAGAGAGGGCACTGTTAGAGAACAGAGGAGCAGAGCAAGCGTGAACATCCAGCGTAGGTAGACAGATCACCGGACAACACTGCTGTGGCTGCTGCTACAAGTCAGAGCAGAGGGAAACCGGGTGAGAAACAGAGAGGGAGATTCAGACGTACGAGGAGAGAAAAGGAGTATAGCGGGTGAGCGTGGTAACTTGTTTGGGCAACAGGAGCCTGTGACAGCCAGGAAGAGAAAAGCAGAACGGGAGGAGATGCTGTGAGGAAGAGTGCCAAGTGATGGAGGGGGAAGAAGCCAGCAGGCGAGCACAATTAGTCAGGTACAGCAATATGGCATTTATTATTATTATGGAGGTCTTATGTCAACGTATTGTTGTATTAATGTTGAGGTTGTTTTGTCTATTTGTTGATGCTATTTTAAATGTATTTTAAAGGCCTATATAGGGGCAGGTATTCGTCATGGATGTAGTTTATGAATACTGTCTTGGTTTATGTGTTTACATACAGCATACTGCAAATAAACAAAATACAAACAAATAAATAATTCAAAGTATTTAAACTGTCAAAAAAAACATTTAAAAACAATATATTTATTTCATTGATCATATATTCCATTCATTTAATATATCTTTTATTTAATTACTTTGAACAAAAAGCTACTTTTAACCAAGATTATCAGTTTTTTAAAGCAACAGTGTGACATCATCAACTATGGCTAAACAGCCCCACTCGGTGACTTTTTCTCACCTTTGTCAAAGCATGATACTACCACGTCATTCATCCAGCCCATTTTAATCCTTCCTGAAGCCCACATTTTCTGTCTAAATATGAAATATATCATACAAGATGATATACTAGTTTCCTCACTGGGCCATCCTCGCAGACAGCCAAATTGAATATTATTGACTCTGCTAATCAAGGTCAAACGTTTTGTGATGATTTTGTTGACATTCAAAGACAGGAATGTAGGAGACATGCAAATATTTTGGTTTATATTGAGGGAGGATATTTTCCGTGCCGATGTATTCAACATGCTCAGTGTCCGACTTCACATGATGCTCCAGAGACCCTCGGGCGCCACAAAGCGCACTCTGTGTGGTACACAAACCCACCGTTTGTCCTCCCCTCCATCCCCTCCTTAGCATTTTAAGTTACCTCCTCCCCGAGCAAGTGACCCCAGCTGATTAAGGAGGAGATTTTCCGAATATTTCACAACACCCACGTAACCCCCAACAGCTATGAGGTTGTTAGTCTCTGCTTTCATTGCTCACAAAGCCATGATTGTGTTTTCTCGTTTACTCTGTCCCTCTCTTGTTGAGGATCGTGGTTGATTCTAACAGACTGTGGCGACTTAACCACATCTAACCCCTCAGTCACCCACGAGTGCTTGTGTGAGATGTTTCTCATGAATTTTTATCTTCAAGTCGATCTGTTGTGCTGTTTCATGAAAGGTCAACAATAACTGTACAGTTTAGATAAGCTGGAAATCGAGGCTACGCTGAGATACCGACTCCAGGTTTCACGTAAAATAGCCAAGAAACGGTTTTAAAATCTGAATCAGGATTGTTTAAAAATGTCTATTATCAGACATGAAGAAATGTATACAGTATAAAATGTCATTTACTGTATACATTCATAATCTATTTAGCAACAGACACTTATATTAGTAATTGTACAAACCCATGAAGGTGCAAGTTTAAGAAACAATACATCATGTAGAGGTTTTGGCTAGGTTAGAAGTTTAGGATAAGTTCTTGTGGTTGACGTTCTTTTACTACTTTGTGTAGTAGTTGAGCAGCATACTGTAAGTATGCAAGTTAAATTCAGTTAGTACTTAAAATAAAGCATTATCTGAATCATTAAGAAATACACATTTATATTTTCTAATAACTCATCAAAATGAGAAATTGTAAAAAAAAATAAAAAAAATATTTCTGCACATTCTTTATGTTTTAGCGCTCACGTCATTTAGAAAAACAGAAACTTTATTTTTAATGTTCTATATGGGTCTAGCATCTGAGCAGAAGAACATGTAAGTTAAATAAGTTGTGTGAGTCAACATGAATTAAAAGAGTGCACAAATATATACCGTGGCTGTATACATCTTTTTAAACTAATAACAGGAATTACAAACATCTCTTTTACAAAGAGTCCTGGCTAAGCCATAGACTGTAATAAATAAATAATAAAAAGTCTATATACTCTCTATGCAATAAACCATAATAAACAAAAGTTCTATCAATCTATCTATTGATCTATCAATAAATATGCAACGTTCAGCAGTTCACCCTGTGCATACACTGGTCACATGATCCTGGTTTTAAAATCTTCAGAATGAAAACAACGCTCAAGTTTAAGGTGACCCTATAGCTCACCTACCAGGTGATCAATCAAAAACATAAAAAGCTCTTTCACCATAGAGAGAGTGAGGTTGTGGAGTTTCATATATGATGAGGGCAGTTCTGAAAAAAGATTCCAACAATGTCCCAGCATCCCTCTGTTGTATAAAGAAGACCAACCTTCATCCTACTGTCCCATACAGGACGCAATGATGTGCGCGGAAAGCCAAACAGAGACCAATCACAAGGCAGCGTGGTACACTGAGTCCAACATTTTCAGTGAAGATGAGGTAGCTGCATAAATTGAGTAAAAGGGGGAAGAAGTAGATAAGTTTGAACTTCTTCCTACTCCTTTTCGGGCATTGAATTTTCTTTCTTTTGTTGTGTATTTATTTTATTTGTTTTCTACATATTTTTAATTACAGCATTTCTTTATTTATTTTGTTTTTTTTTACATGTTAGAAATAAAGAAATCAAATCAAAAGAATGTAAAGCATAAAAAGGATATTACCATTGTCAGTTACAGATGATAAAACGTTGCCTAAATACATTTCGCCCTTGAAGCAAAAGTAAAAACAATGTTTGTTTCTATGGAAGAAACCCAATATTACTCTCAGTCTTTTCAATAGACAATCTATATGTCAATTAAAAGACAGATTTTCATTCTCCTGGCAAATAACCCAGACATCTATATGTTGGGACACATTCAATCACATCATTTTTTTAAGTAAAAATCTGATTACCATCTTTAACTTTCGACCTTAAACTTGAGAAGCACATAATTACAGACTTGTTTGCAAGTATGAGTCTTAATCTAGTTGTGATGGTTTCTCTGGACTAATATTATAATTTTATGCAGCAATGAGAAAGTTTATGATGTAAAAATGGCTTTAGGGCTGTACAGTAAGTGAAGGTGTTTGTCACACGTTACCATGCGACCTCATTCTTCTAAACCTGGTTGTCATCAATCTGAAGAGGCACCATGACGCTACAGAAAATCACAAACCTCTGACACCGCTCCTCCCTGCACATTTGTCATCAACATGCTTAACTTCCTCTGCCCGGCGCTCCTTTATTTTAGCGTTCACGCTGCAGTTCTGCAGTTTAGGACACATTCCAAATCTCTCTCCGTCTCATAATACCAGCCTGTCCCTGCTGCCAGATTGGTTTTCACACAGTCCCGGGCCCTCCCTGCTACCACGGCGATGCAGCTGTCACCTGTCAATTTCATGGTGGGGATGCACACCGGCCTGTTATGGCTCAGAATAGAAGTGTGGGAGAGTTTCGCTGGAAGTGGGAGAGAGCACAACACCAAGTCTCGGGGAGGATGAACAGTTGACTATAGGAAAAAAAAAATCTCAGCTATATGGGAATGCAGCATATGTGTCTGTGGAGGGTACAGTGTGCTGCTCATGGGAGTGACTGACTGATTGCTTCTACAGGGGGAGACTCTGGGGCAGATTGTGTTGGTAAGGCCTCATGTGTTAGCCTCACCCTGTGTAGCCAGCTGTTACCAGTTCATTCAAACATGTGAGCAGGGTTTAGAAAACAAGAGTTTAAGTGAACTATAACTTTACAGTTGTGCACCCTTTATTTGATTGAGCTTTCTTTCACAAATCTATCTGAAGAATGTATATATTCTGTGTACTAGTTTGATTGTGCACCACAGAATAATTATGACCTTGAATGTAGGAACACTTTCCTATACGTACAATCTGCTGCATTTATGTAACACCCTATTAGAGTTCATGTTAGGCTTTATTTTGTGTACAAATTGCAATGACTTGTCAGATTTTACTTTTCTAAAGAGTACATGATCCTCTTAACTTTATTTCATCTTTTCATCCCTGTTTAAAGTTCATTCCTGACTGTTTTTTTTACAACTGCAGTGTGGATATGATTTTTTTTCTGTTTCCACTGCAGAATGGATGACCAGGACAGAGTAAGCCAAGCGTCCAGCGTTGCCACGGTTTCCTTCTTCCCTATTGCGAAGGTTTGTTTAAGTTAGCATAGTTACCTGGTAATTATTAGCACGTTTCGGGACTGTCGATGTAAAGAAATATGTGATTGACTCTCTGGATAACAGGAATGTGATGGGAAGGTGCAAGCATTTGGGAAAAGATGTCAAGCTGCGAAGAGAGACCCCAACTGTCCTGTGGTCATCAGAGGGTGGCTCAACAAAAAGGTACATTTCCAAACTTTGTTTAGTCAACATTTTATACCTTCATTAACATATGTAGAAGAGCAGAAAACAGTCATGGATTAATCTTCCTCCTGCAGGACAGCTCGGGTTTGAAGCTATGGAAGAGAAGGTGGTTCGTCCTCTCCAACTACTGTCTGTTTTACTATAAAGGTACCCAGCTTCTAGCCCAGCACTTTGACTGGATAAAAACCTTTTCATGTGCTCTGATCTGTACAACAATGCTTCTCTTCTTTTTGTTCACGTCTTCACTGCTCCCCAACAGACAGTAGAGAAGAATCTGTGCTCGGCAGCATCCCGCTCCCCAGCTACAAAATCCTGTTCTGTACACCACGAGAATGCAAGAACAGAAAGTTCACCTTCAAGGTACCATCAGTGGCTACACATTCAAATTTAAATATCCTCAAAATAAATATTCAAGCATTTTTTTTAAAGATCTTTATGATCGGTGGAAGATGTAAGTAGCTTAACATTTGACTGTAAGTGTTACTTTTTTAAACCTAAAGAAACGTTCATCCGGTTTAATATTGTGATTTTTTTTTGTCTGCTTGGCCACATGTCTCTTTTTTTCTCAATGGGACTTCCTGGCAAAATAAATGTTAGATACATTTTAAAAATGTGTTGACAGGAAACATCATAAAAACAAGACACTGCTGGTCAATAGTGTCAGGCGGATATGGGCCTGTCAGACATATTAGGTAATAGTCTTATGAGTTTTCCAGTATACCCTGATGTATTACTTTGCTGAGAACAAAGCCTACAATTTAGAGTCAGTGAAGGAATATTACTACATAATTTGAGTTAACATTAGGAGCCTGGCCTCTTTGCAAACAGCTTCAACGTGCTAGCATGTCAGGCAAATCAACCACGCCTCTTATTATGTCTAATTACGCATAACTCTTAGCCTTAATATATTTAGAATAGATTAGTTAACCCCCCTTGCCTCCACACAGTTTTTCCAATTCAAGAAGTGAGCTGTGGAGATGAAAAGTGTTTCATGTACCAGGCTGTAAACATGTTTATTTCTACTATAAATAATGCATTTCAATTTGGGGCTTGATGTGGATTCCTTGGTTTTTGGAGTCTGCCTCAAGGGGACACTCAAGGCCCTGCAGTGTTGAACACTTCCACATTGGCTTAACTTTTTAACACTTAGGTTGCCGCTTGTTGACAGAGTGTAATCATGTTGAGTACTATTCAGTAAAGTCATTTATCCTGGAAAGCAGCTTTCAGGCCTTTACACTCTTAGAGGTACAGAACCCACAAAGAATCCACATTAAAATAGTATATTTTCATTCCAGCTCAAATTTACCGTATCGCCTGCTGTATTGATATTTGGTGAATATTTCCTATCAAAAATCAGGATTAGTATGCTTCTCAAAAAATCTCTATCAATGACTAACAAACCTTTTACGAGTGGTATACTACAAACTGTGATGTTGTGATTCATTTGTGTAAATCTAGGTGGTGCACCAGGGAATGCGCTCTTATTTCTTCAGTGCCGACACGCAGGAGGACATGTTGGGTTGGGTCCGAGCCCTCAGTCAGTCTGCAACAATGGATCAGGACAGCTCTCTGAACAGGTACACCACTCTTCAATATGGACCCTGAGGGTAAAAAAAAAAACCCCAGAGAAGCTGGTATTTTTAAATGACTGTATATCCCTGATTCTTTCCAGGCGCTGCTCAAGTTATCAGGACTTCACACAGATAGGTGGCAGCACTGAATCAGTGGACTTCCCTAAACCCCCCTCTGATGGAGAGGGTCCCTCCCAGAGACACAGGCACGTCAGCCGCGCTCTGAGCGAACCCAGTCATCTCAGCGGTGGGAGGATGGGGACTTCTCGCTCAGAGCCGAGGGGAAGGCGGAGCGTGCGTCAGAGAAACAGCAGGTTGTCAAGTCACGTCTGTGTGATAATCACATATTTAAATCCCTGTGCTTTACCGAAAAGAGAAAAGCATCTGAAAAAGGTCCCAGCTTTGTCAGTCTTTGATGTGTTTTCCTTTAAAATGTATTTTACGGCCCTTCAAACAGAACACCCAGCCCGCCTGAGTTTGGCAGAAGAAGAGCGTATGGTCCAAACCAAGAGGAGGATTCTCTTCCTGGCCACAACACACCACCCACTCAGACAGAAATTATGGGAACAGGTTCTCTGACCTCCAAGGGTCAGCTGGGGTCACGACCTCACACACCAGTGGGGAGGGTTGACATTCGACCTCACGATGACATGGTGCCGCAGACTCTGTTCTACGCGCCTGCCTCGCCTAACCTGGAGTTCAAATCCACACCTACCACTCCAGTCACAGAGAGGTGGCAGAACCTGAGCAAGGTCAGGACTCGTTTGGCACCTTGTTTGTCATATCCTCTTAAATTATTATGAAACAAATATGTTTATTCGTACGGCCGGCTTTGAACCCAGGCTGCCTGTTTTTGAGGACTGTAGCCTCTGTACAGGATGCATGCAAACTAACCGCTAGGCCACTGGCACCTCAGAATACAGAATAAGATTAAAGGGAAATATTGCTTTACTTTTGGGATGGGAAATTGAGGGTTTTGGTGGCTTTTTGTGCCTTTATTAAAGACAGGACGGTGGAGATAGTGGGCAACGACATGTAGGAAAGGAGCCACAGGTCAGATTCAAACCAGGGCCGCCCGTTCTGAGGACTACAGCCTCTGTACATGGGCGCGTGAACTAACAGTTCACCAAGTACATATAACTGTATTATTCTGTTTTGATAATTAATAAGAAAAAACATATGGTTGGTTTTTAATGTCGTATGTGTCCTGTGGTAGTGGAAGTGTAAACATTCTTTTAAATTATTTTGTATTCAAGAACATCTCCTCTCACCTTTTCTCTTTCCTTGTTTCCAGCCCACACCTACATATGGTTCTGTCCATCACATCGCGAGCGGGAGAAGACCTTTAGGAAAGGTGATGGGAACAATATTGTATAAAGAAAGACCATCTGATTGTGATTCAGTTAAACTCCTCAAACAGATTGTTGAAAGCATTACTAAAATGGATTGTGCTCATCCTGTAGCTCAGCACAGCATGTTTCTTATAATGCCATGTGTTCTCTGTTTTTTTTTCCGTATACATGCTGTCTCTCCCCTCAGAGCTACTCCACGGGGGCACATGCAGACTTACTGCCCCTTTGCCCCCTCATCAAGGGCAGCACATGCTCCCCACCCCCCACACCACCACCACCACCACCATCATCACCATCTCCGCAGCAATTTATCTGTTTGTGTGCTACCGCCAGCTATGGTACAGCCAGACCTGCTGCTCTTTGTGTTCTAACGGTGTCATGTGTCGTACATTCTTACAGCCCCTGTTGTTTTGTTCGTGTGTCCCCCTCAGAAATGTTCACGTTTTGCTGT